GAGAGCCTGCTTCAAATACACACACACACACACACACACACACACACACACACACACACACACACGAGACAAGATCAATAAAGCCAGGAGCATAGTTATTTATTCTCATTATCAGGCATCATGTACTACGTGGAATTGTCTACACTACTGTTCTGTGAGTGGCAGGGGTAGTTTGCTTATTCCAGCAGCATCACAAACAAGAGAGTGATGTGCTGTCCTATGACATTTGACATTATATGTTACTAAGTGGTGGGAAGTTTTCAGCTCCACATTATAACCCTTTTTAATGTGTGTGTATACGTGTGCCCATGCAGTGTGGGTACATTATGTGCTTGCAGGTGCCCTCACTGGTCAGAGGCCACCCGATCACCAGGAGATGGAATTGCAGGCATTTGTGTCACCTGATATGGGTGCTAGGAACCAAACCAGATCCTCTGGAGAAGTGCAAACTCTTTAGTGCTGAGCATCTCTCTAGCCCATCTCTACTATAACCTTAGGGGCCAGCACCATGTCTAATACAAATCTTCATTACCTTAAATTGCCCCTCACAGTTAAGACACACCCCTTCTCCAGCCACAGAGAGGACAGGAACGAAGATCAGTATCACATGCCACCAGAGTCTCCAAAAGACTAACATGGAACATCACAGCTTCCATCCAAGAGGTTCATACCTGATCACAGTTGCTATCTCCGGAGTCCCAATGGGAATTAGGAATTTCAGAGCAAGTATGCAGTTTCCCAGGTTAGCCTGGACTCCTGATCATAGGCCAGACTCCCTGGTATATTCTGTTTAACTCTTAAAAATGTTTAGGATGAGGCATCATACCACGCATACATAATCCCTACACCTAGGAAATTGAGACAGGAAGATCATCTCATATAGCCTATCTCAAGAGCCAAAATAGGGGCTAGAGAGATGGCTCAGGGGTTTGAAGCACTTACTGATCTTGCAAAGGACTCAGGTTTGGTTTCCAGCACCCACATGAGGCCTCACAGCCCTCAGTAACCCCAGCCCCAGAGGACCCAAAGCTCTCTTCTGGCCTCCACAGACACCAGGCATGCACACATGGTATTTCTGCATACACGCTGAAGAAATGCTCATACACATAAAAAAGTACAAATGTTGAAAAAAAATCACCCCCAAACCAGGCTGTGGTGGTACGTGCCTTTAATCCCAGCACTTGGAAGACAGAAGCAGGCAGATCTCTTGAGTTTGAGGCCAGCCTAGTCTACAGAGTGAGTTACAGGAAAGTTAGGGTTATGCAGGGAAACCCTGTCTCAAAAAATCAAGTAAATAAATTATAATGCACTGAGCTATATCCCCCCTTGAGACAGGGTTTCTCTGTGTATACAGTCCCACCATTCGGGAAATTTCCGTATACGCAGCCTCAGCTTTTCCTTCCATGAAATTAGAGAAAGCAGGGGATGTAAAGGAGCTGTTCTCAGTGAAGGGGGGGCACTCCTGGTTATGCGGCACGGCTGGATCCATGAAGAGCGAAAAATCCCCCCTCTCCCCGCCAGGGGCAAGTGCCACTTTTACAGCATGTCACTGAGTCCATGGGTTTCTGCTACATTATTTAAAAGGAAGAATAAAGGTATCTAAGATCTCTCTCCTTCATGGTGCTTCCGTAGGTAGATCCAGTTGAAAGGAGTAATAAGGTTAATTGACAAAAAGAAAGTTAATAAAAGATGAACGGGCAGGCCCAGAAGCGCCAGCAGTCACCCTGCACTTGCTGTGCGAACCTTCCCTCCCAGCATTTGACATTTGAGGCCTTGCCTTCTAAAGGAAGCTCATTTACCATTCACAAAGGAAGCTATACAGGAGAAGCTTGTTAACTCTGGGGACAGAGGCTAAACTGCCCAGGCCACTTCATCTGGCACAGTCAGGCTCTAAGAGATATGTCAAATTACCATAAGCAGCCACCACCCTCTGCTTCCCTCCCGTGAACCTCCCTGCCACGCTCCACGGGCCTGCTCGGCTGTGGCTGCTTGTAATGAATTAAAGATATCATGGGTTATCATTAGGATTGCATAATTCCAGCTTCACTCTTGCAAATGAGTTCCGTCTGGGAACTGGGAAGGTAACTTGGTGAAAGTTTGCCACCCAATCATGAGATGAGGCCTGAGTTGGATCTCTGGTACCCAGATAAAGTAAATAAATTATATGTGCATAAATACATATATATATATATATATATATATATATATATATATATGCCTGGCATGGTGGCTTTACTTACAATCCCAGGACTGAGGTGGAAACAGGCAGGCCACAGGAACCAGTCTAGCTTACTCAGCAAGCACCAAACCAATTAAAGACCCTGTCTCAAACAAACAAACAAACAAACAAAAAAAAAAAAACAAAGGTGGACAGTGCCCAAGGGAGACATCTGATTTACACATACACAGAGTTCAACAAAAGCTTTTTCTACCTTTCAGAATTAAGAATGATGAGAGATGGCTCAGCAGGTAAGAGCATTTGATGCTCTTGCAAAGTTTGGTTTGAGTTTGGCTCCCAGCACCCACATCTGATGGGTCACAACCTCCTGCAGCTCCAGCTCAGGGAACCTGATGCCGTCTCTGGACACACAGCACACACTCACAGATGAATAAATTCTTTAAAGTATGTAAGAATGTCACTCGATGCTGGGTGTTGGTGGCACACACCTTTAATCCCAGCACTCGGGAAGCAGAGGCAGGCAGATATCTGTGAGTTCAAGGCCAGCCTGGTCTACAGAAGTAGTTCCAGGACAGCCTCCAAAACAATACAGAGAAACTCTGTACAGCAAAACAAACAAACAAACAAAAAACAAAAAAAAGAATGGCACCACCCTAGTTTAGAAAATCCAATACCTCTCTGGGCTCAAGCCCTGGCCACAGTGACTGGGTTAAATGCACCAAGAGAGCTGAGATTTTCAGTAAACACTAGAGCACTGCCGGGCCTCCCTCAGAAACGGGTGAAGAAAATTGAGATCAGCCAGCACACTAAACACACGGGCTCCTTCTGTGGCAAGACCAAGATGAAGAGATGGGCATCGGACACCATGGCGCCCGCCTGAGAACAGTGCGTGGTGGCACCGGGACCGCAACACCACTTCTGCTGTCTCTGTCACATCTGCCCCAGAGAACTGCAGGAACGGAAAGACCAGCAGAAGCTCAGTTTGTAGACGGCCCTAGGCTGCAACAAACGCGTCAATGTGAAAATACGGAAATGAAGTCTAAGCCACCTTTTCTCCTGTCGTGTCCCTCTGGAAGGGCCATCCTGCTCTCTCTCAGGGAGCATGCAGAGTGATGGCCACACCAGCCTCAGGCTGCAATAGGTCATAATGAAAAACCTGGGCATCAAAGCGCCGGGCACTGAACCGAACCCTCTGCCCAAGAACCGGGGCCAGACCACTGGCTGCAAATGCAAGAGGTGATTTATTGAGTACACAGGCGCCTGCGGATGCTACTGCAACTCGGGTGCAGAGCATACCGGGCTTTCAGGGAGTACAATATTTATAGAGTTTCAATGGTTACATAAGTAACAGGCATTTCATTGGCTCATCTTGGGGGCAGGGGTAGTTCCCACGGACTAAGTTTCCTGGTATTACTTTATGAAAGACCCAGGCATACTTCAGCAATTATTATCCTGGTCCCATGACTACTATGGTGATCATAGACACAACTGGGGGCAAGGGTAGTTGCCAAGGACTAGGTGTCCTGGTATTGTCATATGAAAGTTCCCAGCATGCTTCAGTAATTATTATCTGGGTCCCATGATTGCTATAGTGATCAGACACAATTGGGGGCCAGGGTAGTTGCCAAGGACTAGGTTTTCTAGTATTGTCATATGAAAGTTCCCAGCACGCTTCAGCAATTATTATCCGGGTCCCGTGACTGCTATAGTGATCACAGACATCCTGTTTTGAGGGTGAGACACCTGGTCTGGGTTTCTTTCATTAGGCAACAGCCTGGCCTTGCTTTTCTTTTCCTAGGGGGTCCTGGGTAGGGGTCTTTCAATAACAGCGCACATAGGGAGCTCCAGAGCCAGTCACGGTGACTGAGACAAACAGGGCTGGAGAACACTGTCAAAGTCAGGGATGAGAGCTGAACTCACTCAGAACTGTCCCAGACTTTCTTTGAACTCCCAGAGATTCACCGGCCGCTGCCTCCCAAGTGCTGGGATTAAAAGGTGGGCACTGCAACTGCCCAGTGAGATCTCTTTGCCCTGAGAATTCATCCCAGAGTCTTATAGCCTAAACATTTTCAACTCCTACTGAAAATCTCTTGAACCATGCTAACAACATTTCCACCTGTTGCCCAAACCACCTTTTGCCTGGAGCTCAGAACAAACAAGAATTTCTGATCAAATCCCTCCATTGTTGAAGGTTGTTGCTTGTTTTTGAGGCAGTATCCCAGGCTGGCCTCAGACTCTGTAGCTGAGCAGGGAAGACCTCAAGCTTCTGTTCCTCCTGCCTCTACTCCTGAGTGCTGGGACCTTAGGTGTGTACTGCTTCACCTAGTTTTACCTGGTACCGGAGAACAAGTCCAGAGCTCCGTGCATACCCAGCAAGTATTAGACCAGCTGAACTACATCTCCAGCCCCAGGGTTGTTTAAAGGCTGAATTGTTAGTTCCTGATGATAAGCACCAATATTTCTGTGTCCCTTCAACTTATTGTCCCTTCCTTTAATGCTCATAACTTCTTCCTTTTTTTTTTTTTTTTTTTTTTTTTTGGTTCTTCAAGACAGGGTTTCTCTGTATGGCTTGGAGGCTGTCCTGGAACTCGCTCTGTAGACCAGGCTGACCTCGAACTCACAGAGATCTGCCTCCCGAGTGCTGGGATTAAAGGTGCTCATAACTTCTTTAATATGGGACACAAAAGCAAACCCAATATTTCCCTAAAAGTTTAATCAGATTGTCTTATAAAGGGGGAGGAATCCTGTTTATATCTCTTAGCTTTCCAAAAAACAAAGCCAAAAACCACCAGTTGAGACAGATAGGATAATCACTGTGGTGTCAATCATAAGGGTGAAATTTATTATTCATTTGTTTTCTTCTTTACTCGATTACAGAAAGAAAAAAAGGTTTGAACACAGGCACCTGAAGACCACGCCTACCAAATATGACTGACAATCTTTTGACATAGTTGTGTAAATTTAGTAGGGACTCTGCTTCCTGAGTAAACACAGAGAAAGTCCGGAAGTGTCCTGTGATAGGCCAGAAAGAAGATGTTACCCCACCACCCTCCACCAATTTTGATGCCTTTGATCCTTCGAGTGAACCTTAAGCTTCCAAGTTCTACTTCTGACCACCAGGTGGCACCGGAACGCTGAAATAGTGAAATAGAAAAAACTTGCTTTGCTGTGAACCTTAGATTAGCACATAAAACTCATTCTTACTCTTTGCAGTAATCTAGATTTCCCTCTTCCCGTAATCTCTGCACTGGGGAATAGCAGGTTTAAAAGCCTATGTGACGGTTCTTGAGCTGCCTGCTCGCTCGCTCGCACGCGGAGAGCTCCGCGCTGGCCATCCATCTAACAGCAGCTTTGCTTTTTGCCACAGCAGCTTCCAGCGTCATCAAGTGCGTGTCTCGACGTCACTTTGTCAGATCCATCTGCAAGCTTGAATGGATCTCTGATTAAATCCTGTCAGAAGGCAAACCAGAAAGAAGGACAATGGGTATTGACGCACCCAAACACCAATATTTCCGTCTGGTTTGAGCTGCTTTCCCACGAAGGGATATAAAACGCTAGAGTACCATCCTGGCCTTGGAGGAGCATGGCCGCTCTAGAATTAGGATAACCTTTAAAGAGAAGCCTGGTGGCACATAATTCCACCCCTGCCCCCAGCAATGTGAAGGTCTCGGAGGCAGGAGGATCAGGACTTAGGGAGTGAGTTGGAGGCTAGCCTGGGCCACAAACTAAGGGCAGAAGATGGCCCCTTCAGAGTCACACCTCCCAGGGCAAAGTTTACTGAAAGACTGACCAAGGTGGGGGAGGATTGATCTCTGTTTGGTTTTGGTTTAAAGACAGAGTCTCATGTAGCCCAGGCTGGCCTCCAAACACACTATGATATTAAGGGAGTACTGAGATTATAAATATGTAAATATACATACATACATACACACATACATACATATATACATGCCACCCCCCCAGCTTATGTTGCTCTGGGTATTGAATAAATATGTAAATATATATATACATACATACACACATACATACATACACATATACATGCCACCCCCCCCAAGCCTATGTTGCCCTGGGTATTGAAACGGGGCTCTGTGCAGGCAGACGATCATTCTGCAAACTGAACTAGCTCTCTAGCCCTAAAGTGGCTTCACCATTGTTGTGTGGAGAGTCTTACACTGTAACCTAGGTTTACCTGGAACTCTTGGTGATCCTCCTGCCTTAGCCTTCTAAGTACTGAGGGCACCGTATCACCCAGCTGACCCTGTTCTGCGAGATTCTCATGAGCATGCGGCTTTTTACCTTTGGGATGAAAATTCTGACATGCTAACACTTCCCTTCCCTTCCCTTAGTCTCCGGAAATACGTGCACAAGACAAGAATGCTAAATTGGAGACACCAGTACACCCACTGATGTCCAGATTAGAGATGGCCATCTACGGTCACCCTGACCTGAGAACATGGAGTACAGTTGTTGGCAGACATTCCAACAGGAACATGTAAGGCCTTATACAAGAGACTGACAGCCTCATTTGAACGCTGGCCCTGCCCCCACTTGCCCTCAGTCCCACTTTTCTGGTATGTTAAGGTTTTGTTTATTTTTACTTTACAAGCTTGGGTATTTTCCCTGAACGATTATCTGTGTGCCACAGGTGTGCGATGCCTGTGGGGGCCAGGAGTCAGATTCCCCAGAACTGGAGCTACAGAAGGTTGTGAGCTGCCATGTGGGTTCTGGGAGCCAAACCCGGGTCCTCTGCAAGAGAAACAGGTGCTCTTAATTAGCGAGCCATTCCTCAGCCTGGCCCATTTCCACCTTTCTAATGTCAAAAGGTCGACCTGGACCTGGGCTTTACATCCATCAGACTAGAACCTGTGCTCACTGCTGCTGCAGCCACCAAGCCCTCGGCTCCGAGGTGTGCCTTGCTCTTCGGGGCTCTGGGAGCCCTCGCCTCCGTGGCGTGCCTAAGAGACTCTCAGTGGGAAAAGTGCTCACTGCACAAGCATGAGACCTGAGTTAGGCTAGCAGCACCTGCAGAAAAGGCCACACACGGTTGCGCATGCCTGTGACTCCAGCACTGGGGAGGGTGGAGACAGGAGGATCCCTGGAGCTCACTGGTCACACAGTCTAGCCGAAACAGCAAGCTGCAGGTTCACTGCATGAGCCGGTGTCCAAAAACTAGGGTGGAAAGTGGTAGCAGTCTCTGCGTATGCACACACAGCAAGTCCTCCTATGTGCACATACATACATGCATGCACTCACGTACACATGCATACACCACACACAAGTGATTTTCCACACCCATCTTCCCTTTCAGTGCCCTATAGGAAGACATACGTCAACATCATTTCCAAATGTATGTTTCTGGTCCTGAAAGACTAGAGTGAAACGGAAGTTGGGGGCAATGGAGAAGCATCCGTTTGCAGCATGAACTGCTATGGTTCTGTACAAGGGATGCAGGGATGCAGCATGCTGGTTAAGGTGCCCACTCTAGAAGCGGGTGTGAGTTCTAATCTCTAGCTGCGTGATCTTGGATGAGGAAATCTGTCTCTTTGCAACCTCAGTTTCTTCATCTATAGGATGAGCATCACAGAGGTCATTGTGAGGACTACACACACCTTAAACACGTGCCTGTCTTATAACATGGCACTTCTAAATTACTCCACCTGCTGCTCATGTTAGCACCACCATTACTATTGGCCGCAGCAAGACATTCCCACACAAATGGTGCTGGCATCATTTCAGATGCTGCCTTGTTTAATGATGTAGCTCACTGATTGATTTATTTGATTTGATACAATGTATTCTATAGTCCAGGCTAGCCTTGCATATGTAGCTGACGGAGAACAAAAACAAACACAACTGCCTGCACACTCAGTACACCAGGGTTTATCATCAAATTCTTCCACAAAAATGATAAATATCTCCTTCTCCAAGAGAATGCAAGGCTATGTCTCTAGGCCACCCAGCTGTTTCATTCTGATGCCCAGCTGGCTGCAAACAAATCTGGAAGAACTACAACGAGAGAGAGAGAGAGAGACAGAGAGAGAGAGAGAGAGAGAGACAGAAAGAGAGAGAGAGAGGAGGGAGGGAGGGAGAGAGAAAGAGAGAGAGGGAGGGAGGGAGAGAGACAGAGAGGGAGAGAGAGAGAGACAGAGAGGGAGAGAGAGAGGGAGAGAGACAGAGAGAGAGAGAGAGAGAGAGAGAGAGAGTTTACCTCTCCAAACCTCTATTTCCCTTTGAAAGTGGGAAAACATGATACCAAGTGTAAGGTCCTCGCCTGCTGGGTGGGCTGTCAGCAAAGATCCAAGCTGTTATCTTGCAGTGAGAGAGGGGTGTGGAAGGCGAGAGTCCCAGGAAGACAGGTTTGAGGGAGAAACTGAGGCTGCTTGCGGATGGAGGTTGGTGACTCTTTGCCTATGAGCCTTGCCTTTTCACTTGGCATTACAGGAGTCAAAAGGCCAGCAGAAAGGCACAGCATATGTGCCAGCCAGAGCCCTCCAGAGCCCACATACTCAATACTATAAAGCTGAGAATCGTGGCTCCTGCAGGCTCTACCACAATGGGTCTGAAAAGTGAGAGCCTGGAACATGGAGGCGGTGGCATTTCTCTGGTGGGAAATAAAGCTGAGAAAATAAATAATAATGTCAACTCATGTATCTCTTAGGCAGCACCTGCAGAGTGCCTGCCACAACCAAAGAAATCATTGTACCCCGTACTGGATCCCCGTGGACGTCAGACAGACATGACTGAATCAGGGGACACCTGCCAGGACAAAAGCACTCTGTGAAAAGCACTGAGAGAGCCCCGGCCACCGCCTGAACTGAGCAGCGACAAACCACTGCCACCCAGGACTTCAGGACCTGTGAAGGCATTTTCACGTGCGGAATGGAAAACAAGCTGTCAAAGCACTCCTTGAGAATGGCATGCCCCCCCCCCCCCCCGCCCTCGTTTGACAGGATGTTTCTGATACAGGTCAGACTATTACCAACTTGGGACAGACATAAAATAACCTGAACAGGGTGTGATTTGCCGCCAATTCTGATAGGAAGAGAGGTCAAACCAAAGTGAGAGAAGAGTAAAATGGAGGGTGGAAGAAGATAACAAGAAAGCAGATGTAACAGGTTTGCTTTGTGCGAGCTGTCCTGTGGAAAAGACAGACGCACAAGCTGGAGTCTCTCGAGGCTTTGGGAAGGACTCTAAACCTACACAAGGGAACAGCGTTTCCTAGGAAGGGCGGGAGCTCTATAATCCAGCATTAATAGCAAAATAAGAAGGGGCCACCAACTCCCCGGGATGAGGAGCAGGGCTAGAGATACCTCACAGCAAAAGTTCACAGAAGGAGCAGAATCTCGCAGGGTTAACTATTTAATTAGTCCTCAAAGACAAAGGGAGAAAGAACACCGCTCTGACATATGGGCACTGAAAGAACAGGACTCCAAGGCAACCCAGGACGTTCTGCAGACTTGGGACAGCTACTGAAGGTTACAGGGCAAGACCACGAGTGCCATCCGTATTGTGATACTGACTGAGGCAGCCTGATCCTGGAGGTGGCTGCTCTATTAGGGAAGACATGAGGACTCCTGTGGGAGAATCAGGAATCAAGAATGGGGTAGCCAAGGTGGTAATGCAACGGGAAGTAAAATGGGACCCTTTCTGTCGCCGGATGGATAGCAGCAGAAAGAGACATGCTGACATCAGCAACAAGACAATCAGAGCAGGCTGGGACATCAGTTTGCCCACAGCGCCTGCAACAAGCCACAGGAAACGTGGGGAATGACTGTGAATTATAGGGAGTGCCTATGCCTGTATTACCCAGGGACCCCCCCCCAAAAAGGCCCATCCTCCCTTGCCTGTGCCCACACCTTTCTCAGCAATCTTACAGCACTAACTCCCGAGACCGGTTACTGTGCCTTCACTTGGCTCTTTCTCGGGAAAGCATGGTGACTCAGACCCACTCCAAGCTGGTATTATCTGGTCCCATTCTTGTCAAAATAACCTGGGGAAAGAGGAAGGTTACATTCTCTCGCAGAACACAGCAGGATGAAGGTGTATCTCCTCTGACAGAGGAGACAGGCCATTGACTCCAGCAAGATCCAAGGCTCTAGGCCACCCATGAGGTTCCTGGAGTGGGGCCAGACAAGATAAGACCCACTTGTTTCCAGGCAGAGTAGGAGATAAGACACGAGCTTTCCAGCCTCCTGCGCCCCCTGTGCCTCCTGCATGGTGAACAATATACAGATGCACATAGGGATAGCCAAGGTGCAGAGTCTGGGCACCCCTCTACCAGGTTTGCCAAACCGGATAGGTGTCCCCTGCCCACCAGATGGCATGAGCTGGGCTCTCTGGCAAGAACTAGAGGTACCTGCTCTAAGCTCTAGAGGGAGGCAAACTGGATGGGCATCAATTTCGCACCGTGCACAGTGCCCTCGTCCAAAGTGGAGAACAGACACATCACTCACTGGTCACCATGCAAGCTGGCCAACTAGAAAGCCACTGAGGGCAGACCCCCTACCAGTTCTAGGCAGCAGGCTTGGTAGATGGAAACTGAAGACATCCGCCCTCCTCTCCGTTTCATCAGAGATGATTCTAGAACCATCATGACCTGTTGTTAGGCCTGTTTGATTCACTTGGCTTTCTAAATTTTATTTCTTCATTTATATTTACTTATTTATTATGGATACAGGGTTTCTCTGTGTAACAGTCCTCCCTGTTCTGGAATTCACTCTGTAGACCAGATGTGGAACCCAGTTACTTACAGAGCTGCCTCACCACCTCAGGCTACGGTTCTGGATGGGGCTTCACTTCCACTGGGAAATGTGAGGTGTGCAGATGGCTCAGCTGGAAACCAGCGTCCACACGGCAGCACAACCTGCCACTGATAGCATCTGGCTTTTCAGACAGCAGAAAACCACAACAGCCAATGAGCAAAATCCTGGGTGGCATAGTTGCTAGCATGTAGGCATGACTGCTGGTCAAGTACACTGATGACTGGGCTGTGTACAAAACACACATCACGGATGGCATAGTGGTTAGGGAAACAAGCGTCTACTGGCTTCAACAAGTGTTTCCTCTGAGGGAGATTGTCAAGGTCTTGAGAACCTGTGCCTGACTGACAATGTCCAGAGCATTTCCCAGGACATGCTGTTAGGGGTAACACCCAACAACACATCATGACATTTTTGTTTGTTTGTTTTTGCTTTTTTCGAGATAGGGTTTCTCTGTATTGCTTTGGTGCCTGTCCTGGAACTCCCTATGTAGGCCAGGCTAGCCTCGAACTCACAGAGATCTGCCTGCCTCTGCCTCCTGAGTGCTGGGATTAAAAGCATGCACGACCAACGCCCGGCTCTTACCCTTTTTGTAGGAGATGATATGCTAAATTGTCGATTTTGTTCTGGTGACTCTGGCAGAAAAGGTGGGTTATGTCTTGATCCACATTGTTATTATTTTCAAACGTGTCTGGTCTCTTCCCATACAGCACTTCTGTCGCTGTGGACTTTGTTTACAAGTTGAGCTAATGGCCTCACAGCCCATGCAACACAGAGCTATCACTTGCGCGATCAGGGTATACCATGGCCCAGGAAGGCACGTGAGACAGAAAGAATTATAAGGAATGTTGTGTAAAGATTGGTCTTGGAGCTGGATGGTAGTGGCACCTGCCTTTAATCCCAGCACTGGAAGGACAGAGGCAGGCAGATGTCTGTGAGTTCAAACAGTCAGTCTGGTCTACAGAGAGAGTTCCAGGACAGCCAGGGCTACATAGTGAGACCCTGTCTCAAAAACAACAACAACAACAACAAAGATTGATCTTGGTATGACTGCAGCCATCTTCAGCTGTAGCTACCATGGCTATTGTCTCCAAAGTAGCCCTAAGTATCAGCATTGCCTGCAATTCCCCATAAATGAAAACAGAGGCAGACCTGGATCTGTCTGCCTCTCCCTCAGCACCTCCGTCAGCCCTCAGACACAGCCGGTCTCTAATACACTCGATTCTCTTAAAGACTGCGGGGAAAACACCAGTCTTCTCTGTATATCTGTATAACGATATATGCTCATCGTATAAACTACAATAAAGTACAAACAACAGAAAACTGAAAATTTTGGGAGAAGGATAATTTCTGAGACCAGAGTACAGGGCACATGGGAGAACAATTATAGAATCCTGAAAAGAAGGCTGGGCGTTGGTGGCACACACCTTTAATCCCAGCACTCGGGAGGCAGAGGCAGGCAGATCTACAAGAGTTCGAGGATAGCCTGGCCTACAGAGGGAGTTCCAGGACAGGCTCCAAAGCAATACAGAGAAACCTTATCTCGAAAAATCAAAAACAAACAAACAAAAAAATGAATAAGCCAGGAAGTGGTGGTGCACACCTTTAAACCCAGCCTCTGGCAGATCTCTGTGAGATGGAGGCCAACCTGGTCTACAGAGTGAATTCCAGAACAGGGAGGACTGTTACACAGAGAAGCACTGTATCAACAATAAATAAATAAACATAAATGAAGAAATAAAATTTAGAAAGGCAAATGAATCAAACAGGCCTAACAACAGGTCATGATGGTTCATAGAGTCATCTCTGATGAAACGGAGAGGAGGGCCGATTTCTTCAGTTTCCATCTGTCTTGTCTTGCCTTCTGGCTCGGGAACCTTCCAGGATCTGGGAAGCCTTCCTATTTGTCCTTGATTAAGAATCTTTCTTAGCATAACTGCTTGCTGTTGCACAGGATATGCCCTGGTGTGTACAGCTCTGTTCTGGAAACTCCATACTGATGAGAAGCCATGCTAACTACTTACTGCATAGCAACAGAGCCGCTGTCCATCAGTACAGACTTACGGGGGTTACGGCTCACGATGGAACTGGAGAGACAGATGAGAACACCTTTGTATTCTATGTTCTGAGGGCGCGTTTGAACCTTGTAGGATAGCAAGGGGTCTGCATGGACACATTCTTGCCAGTGGCTTCTTTGTTCCAAGTTACCTCCCCAGGCCAGATGGTCCTGGAGGAGACAAAGACGATAAAGGAAGAAGCTGACCAGAGTTGACCCAGATGTTCCCAGAACAAGGGAAGAGGGCAAGAGATGATAAGGACGGAGGCGCTGACATCATAGAATCTCAGGGACAAGGCTGGCCACCTGACAAGAGGGACAAGAGGGCTGGGGAATGATTTCCGGGCTCTCCTAAGGCTGCTGACCGTCGATAAGGGAAGGCAGTTTTTAGGGTATTAGGTCACAGCCTTCGAAGATCATATGCGTTCTGGTAAACACAACTCAGAGACTCAATTCTGTCCCTGCTCTTGCCTCGAATGGTGACCAGCAACAAGGACTGCTGTGTCCCGGTGACACTGCTAGGGATACAGACAGTGCAGCTATTGTGGAAAACAGTCTGGTGGCCCTTTACAAGCTGGGAATAGGCCCAGCATGGTGGCACATTCCTTTTCACCCGGTACTCTAGAGGCAGGGACAAGTGGGTCTCTGTGAGTTCAAGACCAGCTGGCCTACATACTGAGTTCCAGGCTGGCCAAGGCCTGTGCAGTGAGAACCTGTCTCAAAAACAAACACAAAATACCAAAAGCCACCAAAACTTAGAAATGTAGACAAAACAATTCTGTTCTTAGGTATAGATGCAAAAAAATCTTTGAAAGCAGAAACTTAAACAAGTATTTGCATATTCATGTTCCTAATAGCACTATTTATAGTCTCCAAGAAGCAGGACAGATGAACAAATGTCTTCTAGCCCTACTCCAAGAGGAGTGAAGCCCTGATGCACCCTCCAAATGAAGAAGCAGCTTTGGAACACAGGTGCAGAGTCAGGTACAAAAGGCCATGCGTGCGTGAGTTTACCCATACACAATGTCCTAACGGGGCAGAACCATAGAGTCAAGTCAGCTAGCCACTGCTGAGTACCAGAGGGAGGAGGACTGGAAATAGATGCTCAATGGGTATGAGCTGGTGAAAATTTTGGAAGTAGAGAGTATGGTTGGTTGTACAACCTTATGAGTGAACTAAATGCCACTGAATCATACACTTATAAAAGCATAAAATGGGGAGCAGACCAAAGGGCTCAGCAGGTAAAGGTGCTTGCGTCAAAGCTGATGACCCGAGTTTAATACCTAAACCCTATAATGGAAAGAGAGAGGCAGCTCCCACAAGCCATCCCCTGACCTCTGCACATGCACTGTGACACACACACACACACACACACACACACACAATTGTAGGGGGCATACAGATACCATCTATTCCGTTAACTCACAGATATTCTAAAGACTCAAAGATTATCATTGACTCATTAAGAATTGGGAGAAAAAAGAATCTCGGGGCTTGAGAGATGACTCAGTGGTTAAGGGCACTGGCTGCTCCTCCAGAGGACCCAGGTTTGATCCTGAGCGTCTACATGACAGCTCATAGCCATCCGTAACTCCAGTTCCAGGGGATTCACAGTACATAGACATAACAGGCAGGCGGAACACCCATACACATAAAATAAATCTTTAACAAAAGGAATTTGTCAAGTCAAATCACCTATGCATACTGGTTGTAGGAAGCAGCTGCCAAGAAGACTGGTTTCAGCAGCGTCTGTAGTTTGTGGTTGTTTTAGAGATCTGTTTGAAGCAGGGAATTGAAAGTCAAACAAACCTTTGTTTCTGCTTCAGAACAGTCCACAGGTGTGAAGAGAAAATCTTGATGAAAACGCGAGTTCTTCAAGACAGCTGCGGTCTCCTCATCCACGTCAACAGCTTCACCTTCCTAAAGAGCAGCATCAAGTGAGTATCAAAAGATGTCACTTTGGTCCATCAGGTTCTAGGAATCAAATCACGTTGCCAGGCTTTCCCAGGCAAGCACCCTTCCGTGCGGAGCCCCTGACTGCGCTTCAATCTCCTTAGGAAATGTGCAGGAGCTTATTCAGGGGAAGGACCACACCGGCCTTCTCATGTGCTGCTCTCTCACCGTGTGTTTCAGATGGTCAGCTTTTCAGATGACAGTGCTACAAAAGGCACTCAGATCGCAAGATCCAACAGAACTGGAATTATGGGTAGTTGTAAGACGCCTTTGCGGCTGGGAATCAAATCAAACTTAGGCCCTTTGCACAAGTAACAATGCTCTTAACCTCTGAGCCATCTCTCCAGACCCTCTAAATAAACCTCTAAATTGTTTTATTTTGCACACTAACTAGCAGTCCTAGGTAATACAATTTTTCTCGTTTGGGTTTTTTTCTTTTTTGAGACCAGGCTAGCCTCCAACTCTTAGAGATCCTCCTGCCTCTAACTTCCAAGTACTGGGTAAAGCCATGTGCCACACAGAGTTCAATAAAAAGAAAATCATAAATAGAAGTCTGCTTTAACTGGCATTTAAATCGTCTTTTAAAAAGAAATAATAGATTGGTAATTTATAAAACATATAAACATATAATTTATAACCACATCTAAGTTAAAAGATGGTAAAAATGGAAAAGTAATTAAGACACATATAAAAACCAAAGAGGGGAGCTGAAGAGATGGCTCAGTAGTTAGGAGAACCCGCTGCCCTTCCGGAGAACACAGGTTCGGGCCCTGGCAACCTTGTGGTGACTCACAACCATCCGTAACTCCAGCTCCAGAGAATCAAATGCTTCCTTGTCTCCTCAGGCACCAGTGGCACCTTTGGTGTACACACATTCATGCAAGCAAGGCACTCATACACGTAACATGAAAGTGAAACATGTAAAACATATCTTTAAAAAAACACATAAATTCTAAGAAATCTATTATCAACCCTCTATTCTCATCCATCCTCCTCTAACCTCAACCTGTTCCTCCTCTAAACAGAACAAAAGACTACCTATCAAAAAAGTCCTGGCTTGCTGTAGAATAAAGCCTAGAAGGGACGAGACCCCCGCAGTAATAGTAAAACTCCCCATGTGTAAAAGAGTCACAGACAACTAGCTCTTAAGCAGGGAATAGTGATAATCAAATTTTTCACAACAAGCTTCAGCTTTGAGCCTTTACTCTTAAAACTTATTGTTTTAGCTGGTGGTGGCACCCACCTTTAATCCCAGGACTCGGAGGCAGAGGCAGGCTGATCTCTGTGAGTTCAAGACCATCCTGGTCTACAAGAGCTCGTTCCAGGACGGCCTCCAAAGTCACAGAGCAACAGTGTCTCGAAACCCCCCCAAAAACCAGGGTTATACATTTGTCTGGAGAGAATGTTCCGTAGCTAAGTGTACTGCTGCTCTTTCAAAGGACCTGAGTTCGATTCCCAGCACCCACATAGCATCTCACAACTGTTTTGAGCCCTCTTCTGTCCTCTGTGGGTATCAGGCATACACATGATACATAGACACGAATGTAGGCACAGCACCATACACATGAAGAAATAGCTAAAAAACAAAACAAAACAAAAAACTACTTGATGATGCTCTTGCAGAGGGCCAGAGTTCAGTTCCTAGTGTGCAGTGTCCATGTCAGCCATCTCAAAACCACCTAGAACTCTAGCTCCCTGGGGTCTAGGGACCAGTTTTGCCTCTGTGGAGGATTAAACACATGTGGCATGCACACACATACATTCACTCACGAACATAGATGAAAATACTTTTAAAAAGATAATAAATCATGTGAAATCCTTCAAGTAAATGAAATCATTCATAAGGGGAGAAACCAGGAGCAGGGGGAGACATGCACTCCCCCTGGCTGAGGAGAATGGGGACATACAGAGATTCTTGGGGAGTTAAAATGCTTGCTCTTCTCATCCAGTACCTTTGCTTCTTTAGGCTGCACTGTGTTCCTTGTTATTTCAATTCTACCATGTGCCACATACAAACATTGTGTCAGATACAAGGGGTGAAAAAGAGAAACAAAAGCAGACCAGGACGGTGGCTGGCAGATTTGGTGATAAGATCCAGGGATTTCTTCCTTAAAATTTTTACCGAATTTTCCCTCCTGAAGACTGCTTCCATGCCTCCTTGGCCTCATTTCTATCAGATTCTAAGAATGAGCCTCCCCAGCACCTCAGGACAGGAAACAATACTTGGCCTTAGCTTGCGCAAAATGTGATGCTTGGCCCACAGAGGGCATGGCAGCCTGTAACACTGCTGCTAGAATTTGGACACTAGAAATTCCCGAAGCAGCCAGGAGGTGGTGGTGCATGCCTTTAATGCCAGCCCTTGGGAAGCAAAGGCAGGTAGATCTCGGAATTCAAGGCCCACTTAGTCAACATAGCTAGTCCAGGACAGCCAGGGCTGCACAGAGAAAAGCTGTCTCGGGGGCGGGGAGATCCCTGAATTCCTTGAAGCCCGATGGTAGCTAGATTAGTCAAATCAGAAAGCTTGGGTCAAGGACCTCAGTATAGAGGATGAAGAATGATCCATGAAGACACTCAATGTCAACTTACACACACACACACACACACACACACACACACACGCACGCACGCACGCACGCACGTAATAATATAAGAGAAGGATCTGAAGAGATGACTCAGTGGTTGAGAGCACTTTCTGAGTTTGGTTTCCAGCTCCCAGTCAGGTGTAGGGAATCCAACAACTTCTGGCTTTTGTGGGCACTGTACTCATGTGCATAACCAATCCCCACATAACACACTTAAAAATAAACTTCATTTTGTTTGTTTGTTTGTTTTGCTTTGCTTTTGCATGACAGGGTTTCTCTGTGTAACAGGTCTGGTTGCCTTGGAACTCACTCTTTAGACCAGACTGGCTCAAACTCACAGAGATCCACCTGTCTTTGCCTCCTGAGTGCTGGAATTAAAGCTGTGCACCACCACCGACTGCCTGGCCACAAACCTAAATTTTTAAAAATAAGTAAAAATAAAAAAGAAAGAGTATAGTTTAACACATCAGTAGAAAGGATAGCAAATATATAACTCAGTGACACTGTCCTTTATTATCACTATCAAGTGGTGTGTGCTGTCTGTAATTGTGCATGCTATGCAACAGCACCGCACACACGAGCGATGTGTTGCTCCATGGCGCTGTGACTGCTGTGTGTCTCTGGGAGACAGCATTTCCTTTCTCTTTTTCTTTCAATTGTTTCCAATGTGCCTTTATTTTTATTTTATGTGCATTGGTGTTCTGCCTGCATATATGTCTGTGTGAAGCTGTCATATCTCCTGGAGCTAGTGTTACAGGCAGGTGTAGGCTACCATGTGGGTGCTGGGAATTGAACCATGGATCCTCTGAAAAAGCAGCCAGTGCCCTTAGCTGCCGAGCCATCTCTCCAGGGCATTTTCAACTCTGTTATAATCTATGGCACTGCCATTGTATATAGTGTTTTCTTGACTGAAATATATGCATACACATGCACATATGTTTATACACAAATAAGGCAAACATAAAAAATGTTCTCAATTGAGCAATAAAATGGGTAATCGTATATAGCATTGGCTGCCCTGGAACTCACTCTGTAGACCAGGCAGTCCTCAAATTCACAGAGATCCACCTGCCTCTGCCTCCTGAGTGCCAAAATCAAAGGTGTTCTCCAACACCACCTGGCATTATTGTACTATTCGTTAACCGTAATGCAAGTAAAAATATTGTATAACATTGAGAACAATCATTTTCCGACTTAATTAATACATGCACACAAGCAGGAGTCATGCAGTATGGCACCCACCCCTGTGATCAGGTATAGCTCCTCAGCCTCCCCCCACCTCCCCACCATGGAGCTTGACAGAGTGAGATCATGAAACATTTGAGAAGTGTGTGAGCTAGATGTGAGCTTCCTATACACCAAGGAAAGGTTTGCAGATGCGTGGGAAGAACGGAGTGGGGTGGTGAGGGCCATCTGCTACCCATCACACTAAAGCAGAAGAGAACGTCAAGGAGTCAAAACACAGCGAGAGACAGAGGAAACAAAGACAGATGAGCCACCGAATGACAGAAGTGACCTAAAAACTGACAATGAAGCTACAACTGAAACAGTTGCCGACGTCCCTCCAGGAATAATATGAGACCAGCAGTAGTGGCACAAGCCTTCAATTCCAGAGTGCAGGGATAGAGGTGCAGGCAGAGTATTCTGAGTTCAAGAGCAGCCTGCTTTTCACAGTGAGATCTAGACCAGCAAGACCTAAATACAGTAAGACCCTGACTGGGGCGGGGGGCGTGAAGTGGGGGAAAAGCCTGGACAGAAATGGCTGTCAGGTAAATGGGAAGAAAGGCCGACACTAAAGCCTTAAATGATGCCCATTCCATGTGTCAAGAGAGTCCGTGTCCTTTATCAACTCACAAAGCCAAATGCCTCCATCCAAGACAATGACAGAACCACCAGGCATACAGACTCAGACCACTGGGAAGAAGAGCCTGCCACGCTGCCTTTGTCTTAACTGGATTATGATGGAGATGGAAAGAAATTCAGCTGATGCTCAGAAAGCTGCAGAACACTAAATGTGAAAAGCAAGAGTCTAAAGAAATGAGAAGAACATTCAAGAAGGTTGGAGAAACACAGTTGCCAGCCAGAGGGAGAAAGAAGCCAAACGACAATCGGGGACCAGGAAGGATCTCCCCCAGGAGACTTTTTGGTGAGCCTAGTAAGTTCTTTGAAGGAATAGATGGATTAAGAATGCATCACTGGAATGGCAGCAGTGCCATTGAATTATCCGGAGGGTGTGACAGCCATGCGGAATCTTAAAAGGTGACTTCCCAGGATGCCACCTAGAATGAGTAAATAGGTCAAAATATCAGAGTAGCCCAAAGGCTAGAGATCCCATGCAATGGACATTTGACAAATTCCTCATGGGAGGAAAATCCACCCAGGCATCTAACGATATCAAAGGGAGCACACAGCTGTGCGTCTCTGCCGCCTCTCGAGAGCTGAGGGCTCTGAAGATCACCCCGGCCCCTCTATACCAGGGTTCGCCACTGGGTATTCATTCGGGTAATATGTTCTGATTAGGAATTCCAAACTTGAAGCACTTACTAAGTCTAAAATATGTTAAACTAGTTAAAAGAGTTTGTTAATTTCTATGCCTTGGAATCACTGGTCAAAGGAAGGTATAAAAAGTTTATTCCTCTACTGTAAGTAAAATGAAGACTTGGATTAAGGAAAAAGCAAAATTACACACCAACCAACCAACATCAGAATAGTGAGAAGCAATTTAAGGTCAAATTCAAGGTCCAGGGAAGGCACTGTGGCTGGGGGCGTGGGGGGCACAGGGGCAAGGGAATGCTGCAGAAATAGCGGGCACCAGCCTTGCCCGCCCCACAAAGCTGAAGATGGAGCATGGGACGGGGCCTTGAACATGCTGGCAAGCGCTCTGCCATTGAGCCACACTGCCATCCCCATGGAAAACTTCTTTTTTTACCTTGAATGTGTAATTTGCATCAAAGATTAGTTCTTTCTCATGCCCTGTGATTCCACCTTTGTAAACAACTTGGCATCTTTTAGCTGGCTCTGTCTCAGGGAGTTTGAAGAGCCGGAACGTGGCAGACACAAAGCGACAGTCACCTGAAGGCAGATACACAGGGCTCACTTCCTGCACCCCAGCGGCATTCAACAAATGAGGACAATGCACACTGCAAGGGTGAGTGTCTTCACCCAATGCCACCAGTTATCTCTGGGCGCTTCAGTCCATGTACTGAGTGGGTTCAGACGCTTTATGAAGCGCTGCTCTAGGGAGGGGCGGAGCGCACTCAGGAGACAAGGCGGACGCTTGCAGATGTTGCCGTCCTCCTTGTTAGAACCACTCATTAAGAGTGCTGGACAGGTAGCTCAGTGGTTAAGAGCACCAACGATTCTTCCAGAGGGCCCAGGTTCAATTCCCAGCACCCAGGTGGTAGTTCACTACTGTCTGTAACTCCAGTTCTGGGGAACCTGACACCCTCACAGAGACACACATGAAGGCAAAACGCTAACATTCATTTAAAAAAAATCACTCACTAAACTAACTAACCACTGACCTGAAGCCATTCCCACTGTAGCCTCACAGTCTCCGCCATTGTTTCTTACCGATTACACTTTCTAGCTCCTTGTTGTGAACTGTAATGATATTGGCAGTGACCAAACGTGGAGGGCAGAACCCAAGTTTTTGGGCAATGACGGCAAGATCCTTCCAGTACAAAGCACCACCCAAGCATTCACCTTAAAAAAAAATTACAGATCAAACAATAAACACAGCAGCATCGTCAAAATGTATAGCCTACACAATTAACTAGGACATAGTATTACCATGTAAGGCCTAACTGGTCATGGGGTGCCCACCTGTAACTCCAGCATGTGGAGGACAGAAGCAAGACAATGAGGAGTCTAAGACCATCCCGATGAGTGTGAGACCCTTCTCAATAAACCAAACCACCGGAGCTAAGGATACAGCTTGGTTGAAAGAGGGCTTACCCAGAATGCTCAGAGTCTCAAATTTGAACCCCTGCACCAGCACCACACAGGAGCAAATGGGGTGGCATATACCTGTAATCCCAGCACTTGGGAGGGAGAATGAAGTGTTCAAGGTCAGCCTGGGCTACACGAGACCTTGTCTCAAAACAAAAAAGTAATAGTAATAATGAAGATAATAGTTAGGCATAGTGGCGCATGCCTTTAATCCCAAACTAGGAAGGCAGAGGCAGGTGGATCTCTGTGAGTTCCAGGACAGCTGGCCTACAAAACAAGTTCTCGGGTAGCCAGAACTACACAGAGAAACCCTGTTTCTCTCAAACTACCAAGAAAGAAAAAGAAAAAAATATGATTATGATAAATTTGAACCAAAAGAATAGGGCCTGGAAGCAACCACAATGTCTAGAAAGTGATGATTAACCCCAGAATTTGTCAGTTTACGGTCTCTGAGAATCATTCAGGACAGTCCTACTAAGACACAACTGTAACCCTTGTGTGTGTGTTAAGTCATACTCTGAAAGGCACTGTGAATGGGAATAAAATGGCATAAAAGCCACCTCTTAGCTCCAGAAGAGACTCATAATGCTCTACTCCTAGAACAGTGACTACCACTAACATTCACAAGGCACTTTTACAGATTCCTTTCACGTGCAAAGATATTCACACAGGTTTCATGCATCACAGGAATAAGTTGGAGACAAGCATCATGGTCACCCGTAAACAAACACTTCAAGCTGAACAACACAGTTGTGTAACACTATTTATACTGTTTAGACTGGAGCTGGGGACATGGTCCTGAGGTTGAGAGCGCTGGATGCTCTTCTAGAGGACCCATGTTTGAGTCCCAGTACCCACACAGCAGCTCACAATTGTCTAGAACTCTAGTTCTAGAAGATCAGACACCCTCATATGGCCTCTATAGGTCCCAGTCATGCCCTTGGTACCCAGACAAGCACACAGGCTAAATATCCACATACATAAAATAAAATTTTAAAAAGGTTTAAGGAAATAAGTCCAAATAAAATTACATTTTTTTTAATTTTAGAAATGTTTTGTTTTAGTTACTTTGCTTTTTTACCATCTTACTTTTTTGGAGATAGCCTCTCACTATGTAGCCTTGGCCAGCCTAGAATTTTCTATGTAGGCCAGTCCTTGAACTCATAGAGATCTGCCAGCCTCTGCCTCCCAAATGCTAGAATTGAAGGTGTGTAACAATACTCGGCTTATTTACATACATGCATATATATATATATATTTGTCTTCTATGTGTATGAGAGACAGCACATGCCACAGTGCACATGTAGAGGCCAGATGACAACTTTCAGGGGTTGGATCTCTCCTTTTACCATGGGGTTTAAACTCAGGCTGTCAGATTTGGCAGCAAGCCCCTCTACCCACTGAGTCATCTCTTCCCAATATATACTATATAATATATATATGTTTATATATATATTATATTCTTGGGTGGGACACATAGAGATCAGAGGTCTATTCTCTTCATGCACCTTTTTTTACTGTTTTTGGAGACAGTGTTCCACTGTGCAGCTTTGGAGCCTATCCTGCCACTCCTTCTGTAGACCAGGCTGGCCTTGAACTCATAGAGATCGACCTGCATCTGCCTCCACCACCGCCCAGCCATCATGCATCTTTTTATATGAGTTCTGGAAACTGAACTCACCTCATCAGGCATGTAACAAAAGTGATTTACCTACTGAGTCACCTCATAGGCCCTATTTCCTGCTTTTAACATCATCCATTTATATTATTGTATAGTAAGGAAAAAGTTAACACAATCTGTTTTAAAAACAAGATGTGTTTTTGAGACTGTGTCTCATCCTGTAGCCCGTGCCAGCTTTGAATGGGCACTGATCCCTTTCTTCATCTCCAAAGAGCTGAGATCACAGGCATGTATCAGCTTAATGCTGAAGTTGTTATTTTCAGTCAGACTGATCATGAACATGCATTTTTCTCTGAAACTTCTAGAGACTCTTAAATAACACAAAAGGAATAAATATCTCATTTATTCTTCAAAATAGTTTTTAGACTGTTCTTATTTTCATTTTACAGTCTAGAAAATGATAAAAGATAATTTAACTGCCTGAGATTACTTTGCTTTTTAAAAAAAGTTTATCTACATAGTTTGGGGGGCACGTGGGCACATGTCACGTGTCACATGTCAGAGGACAGATCTGTGGACTCTGTTCTCTCCTTCCACCTTTACATGAGTTCCAGGGAGCAAACTCAGATTGCCAGCCTTGAACCACAAGTGCCTTTATCCAGGGATCCAGCTCACTGGCCCTCATGTTGTTGCTGGGTGGTAGAAAAAGAATAGAACCTTCTGGCCTTACACCAGTATTCTCCCATCTAGTGGTCTCACCCCTGCTTCCTTGCAGGTTAGGGCTCTACACTAGGCATAGTCATTGATATCAATAAAACAAGAGCACATACCCCATAAAACCTTGTGGGACCTGATGTCTTCTGGCACTTCAAGGCTAGCATAGACGTCACTGAAGTATAGTTCCCCACCATACTGAAAAAGAGCAGGGCACAGTTCGAGCAAGGTTAAAGATTACACTGATACAGATAATGAAAAAATTGATGAGTGCAGGAGTTCACCTTCAAAATTTCTGTGTTTGAGCTGATACTGACCCAGCTGACCTTTGAGCGTTGAAATCAACACACAGGGACAGAGGCATTTAATTTCTCCAGTGACCTATCCAACACAAATTTGATTGACTCAGAAAGGAAAGAGTTAACAGGGAGTTTTTAAACAAGAACACAGTAGAGGAAAAATGAGTGTCTCTCCTAAATACATTCAGGTTGCCTAAATTTTTAGCAAGTCCCAATAGCCTTAGGTGTCTAGACCACTAACAGACAAATCCATAGAATGAACAGTCTTACTGCTTGAAAATTACAGTAATTGAGCCTAGTGGTGGCACATGCCTTTAATCCCAGCACTTGGGAGGCAGAGGAGGCAGGCAGATCTCTGTGAGTCTACAGATCGAGTTCCAGAACAGCCAAGGCTATACAGAGAAACTCTGTCTTGGGGAGAAAGAGAGAGAGAGAGAGAGAGAGAGAGAGAGAGAGAGAGAGAGAGAGAGAGAGAGAGAGAGAGAGAGAGAGAGAGAGAGAGAGAGAGAGAGAGAGAGAGATTGTCAGGCAGTAATGGTGCACACCTTTAATCTCAGCATTCAGGAGGTGAAGGCAGGGGGATTTCTAAATTGGAAGTCAGCCTTAAATATATCATGAGTTCCAGAATAGCCAGGGGTATACACAGTAATCTTGTCTCAAAACAAAACAAAACAAAACAAAACTTTTTTAAGAAAGAAAGAAGTGCGGCTGTGATTGCCGAGTGGTAAGACAATTGACTCAAAAAAAAAAAAAAAAAAAGAAGGGAGAAAAGAAGGAAAATCACAGTGATATTATTACATTAAAATTTTTATATGCCCTTAACATCTATGTCAAATGAATCATCAGGAACTTAAGGTGTTAATTAGTTAATTTCAAAAGTATGGATGTGTATATTCTATAGCAATGTTTAGTTTCTCTTAGTTGATCTCAGTGAAGTTCATGAACTGGTCTACAAAATGGCATCCTGGAACTATCATGAGATCCTTCTTACACTGATACTTTAAAATTTTATTTCATTATTTTACATGCCTACCTAAGTGGTTGCCTGCATGGATATCTGTGCTCTGGTACCCTTGGGGGCCAGAAGAGGGCATCAGAGCACCTAGAACTGGAGTTACAGATGGTTGTGAGCCACCTTGTAGATGCTGAGAACTGAACCTGGTGCTCTGGGAGAGAAGCCAGTACTCTTAACCGCTGAACCTCACCCGAGCCCTTACTAGAATCTTCTATTTGAGCTATGTAATAGCCCCGGAAGCCAAAAATCCTGGAATTTGTATTTACAGTGCTTGGGATTGGGCCTTGTGTACACTAATCATGTCTCCCGCTGAACTCCACCTCAAGTCCTCCAAACCCCCTTCAAAAAGGCATTCGCATAAAATTTCCATCTTAGATTTTCCAAAGATATCTTGGCATCAGAAATAATATTACTGAGAAACAGGCGGTGTTCTAGGAAAAGTCAAATTCGTAAAGACTTTTCAGGGTGGATCACCTGGGTCCTGGGACTCCTGCGGATGTTATTGTGAGTCACAGGTGTTCTAGGAAAAGTCAAATTCGTAAAGACTTTTCAGGGAGGATCACCTGGGTCCTGGGACTCCTGCGGATGTTATTGTGAGTCACAGGCAACAGCTGCTAGGAACAACAGGAAAGGAGGTGAATATTTCAACAGTGTCCCCGCCCTCCATGCCCTACCTTTAGTGTACTTTTTGTCTTTTGAAACAGCCTCCTTATGTAATTGAGGTTGGCCTCGAACTCCCTGTGTAGAAGAGGACCTGAACTGACCCTCCACCACAACCAACTTGGACCTCTCTTAATTTGATGGATAAATCAAGGGTTTGGATTCTTAGTTCCAGCAAAGAACATGACCCTGTCAGCCCTCTCTGGTGTTTAAAAATCATCCCCATGGAGGCATTACCCTCACTGAGGAGCTGATGGCGGGTGGGATGGGGGGAGAAGGGGAGAGCACGAGGAGAGGAGGGAGGGGAACTGAGATAGAATGTAAATATATAAATAATAATCACTTATCTCCCCCCTCCCCTCACCTTCAGTGCTTGATAAACCTCGTGAAGCACTTGCTGTTTATCAGGTACAAGGTTGATAACACAGTTGGATCTAAAAGCATAAGAAGGGAAAAAAATCAGATATTGAAGGACTCAAATCCTTTAAGACCTAAAAGGGGCTTCCATCTCACCATCAAAGCTGCCTGGTTCCTCCAGACTCTCCTTTCTTCCCCATATTCAACTTTTTCCCAAGATAAGGGAGATAGGTCATTTGTTTAAGACATATCAGTAAGCAGCCAGTGAGCACAAATGTGCCAGTGTGAATAAGAAACATCATCCTTTTTTTGTCCTGATGTTTACTAGGCAACAAAACAAAACCTGGACTCAGATGCCTATCACACAAGGTGTTCAAGCCACATGAGAACAGACATAGTCCCTCAAAGGCAGCTTTCCCAGTATTTTCACTCAGGGTTGGGTGTGTGGTAAAATGCTTCTTTAAGGTTCAATTCTCAGCATCAAAAGAAAAAAACACAGCAGACCCTGTCACTTGAGCACAATTAACAATAACTCAGGAAAATGAGAAACAAAACATCATAATGTGCCATGGCCATTGCTAAATGTGGTGGTATATGCCTTTAATCAGGAAGCAAATGCACGTAGATCCCTGTACATTCAAGGTCACCTGGTCTACATGGCAAGTTCCAGGCTAGTCATAACCACATAGTGAGACGCTGTCTCAAACCGAGGAAAACAAAAAAGAATACCACATACATGATGGTAGTCTCATTAGATCACAATAAAGCTCGCTATTGTCTAATAGTGCAGCAGCCAGAGAAATGCCATAGTAGATTACCAAGTCTTTGAGTCAAGGCTGGAGTCAACACCTTTCCTGGCTGCCGGTTAGAGAAAGTCCAACACAGGCGATGGTGCACGGTGCACCACACTTAGTGAGCATGTTGCTGCCAGATTTTGTTTACTGTGCTTTTATCAATCTCATGATGAACTTACTCTGCTTACAAAAAGAAGTGCTGTGAAACAGCTGGACTCTTTCAACAGCAGTCTCTCACGTCTGGGGTGACTACCACAGCCCTAGAGAGCATCATCACCTCTTGTGTCTGAGCTGCTCTGATGTTCTGTGTGTCAAGCCCTAGTGTCAATAGACTGGCTTTTTTGTGTACACCGCACAGCCTATCATCAAAGTCTGGGTAAGTACATGCTGAAGTTCACGCAATTAGGAGATGCTCCAATACAAATTTCTTACAACACAACCCACCATCGCACTCCATGTAAGAGGTCAGTATGTGTTCCAGGAGAGTAGGCTGTGGTCTGGCTGCTCTGGGGAGCTCACTGGATTTAGCTTGGTGGGCAGTCATGTTGACACTGCAACATGACATTGTCTTCTTGTAAGCATACACTGACAAAGACACAACTGAGTGACAAAAACATAGTAGTTTAAATTTATGCTTTTGTGTTGAACTGTAACCATACCTATCCTTGGTCACATGGGTGTGCCAGAGGCTAGACACACCTAGCAACTTTGAGTTCTCTCTCAGGCAGCCGTGTTTTGTTGTTAATGGACTGCAGAAGGCTCATTATAGTTCCCTTCCTTTATGAAGGCCTGCTAAGTTCAGTTTAATTCCTTCTTTTTAAACTTTCTAAAAATACTGACTTTTATAACATGTGCAATGGTGTTTTGCCTGCATGTGTGTCTGTGTGAGGGTGCGGGATCCCCAAGAACTGAAGTTAAAGATAGATGTGGGCTGCCATGTGGGTGCTGGGAATTTAATCAGGTCTCTGGAAGAGCAGCCAGTGCTCTTAACTGCTAAGCTATCTCTCCAGCCCCTAGTTTAATTCCTTATACCAAGAGTCAATTCATCAAAGAGTGGTAGCATTTGTGTGCTCAAAACAACTTGGACTTTGTTCATAGCAGAAAGACTGTAGCCCTACATAACAATATCGTAGCTCTCCTTCCGGATCCCCGCCTCTGCGAGCTTCTCAATGCAGCCTCGAATAAAAGTCACATTGGGTGCCTGGAAACCAAATTTTTCCATGTGGTACTCAAGATAGGTTTTGGCCACTTCCACCTAGAGAAAGGAAAATACAGATTTGGTAATCAACATTATTCAAAAATAAATCTTTCCCCCTGAGAACTGTCCTATTGCTAATACCATATGTGTCCTATTGCTAATACCATATGTGTCCCTGCCCTGGATTATTTTGGATAAATACTCAAGATTTGTGAGACATGAAAGATATGCAAGAGCCTGGGACACAAGTTCCCAACTTTGTGAGTCTTGCTTGAGTTAACCAATGACCAATCTTCCTGAACAGAAGGATGAAGAAAGGAGAGGAAATGCCACTGATAGATGTATCAGGTTAAACCTCTGACTGACTTCTCTAGGACAGTCATTGATTGTCAATGTCTTCAACTTCTAGGTCACTAGAGGCACACATGACAGCAACAAAACCCCCAGCCTTCTTAAATACCATGAAGAACATCGGGAAGCAGTTTCAGGCCTCAAAGAATGTTCTGATGAAACCTCTTTTCCTTTTCCTCCAAGCCCTTGCCTTACCTGAACCTCAGTCATGTCTATTCCAGTGACATGACCCTTCTCGCCAACTAGCTGGCTAAGCACATAGCAGTCTCTGCCACTTCCACAACCCAGATCCAAAACCTGGCAGCTTTCCAGACGCTCAGGGACAACCAGACCACAGCCATAATACCTGAGAATGGAAAAGACTCGCTTTAAAAGCAGACCAGGAAATGCTCAGATAGGAAATCTATACTTCCCTCCCTCCGTCCCTCCATCACCCACAGATATTTCTGTGTTGTCTCTCCCACTAAACCGGGGCCATGTCTGCCACTGCACAGTGTTGCTGGGCACCGTGCAAGGTAGCAAGACTCAAGAAAACCATCGAAAATATTTGTTGAATAAATTCATCTAAGGCACTGACCGCTGAATGAGGAAAGTATTCTTTCTCTTAGGTGCACGCTCTGTAACTTGAGAGGTAAAAGCTGCAGTATGGAAAACTCTTCCCGGGATTGAATGACAGGCATGAGTGCCGCGGGAGTGGACAGTGATTGCCTCTGGGAATGGGCAGTGCCGCTGGGAGTGGGTGCTGTAGTGTTTGGGGGAAGAAGGCTTCATGATGCCAGGAGGACTTCAGTGAGGTGTTGGAGAGGCAGGGAGTAAGGTAACTGCTCTCTGAGTGGGCAATACTATGCCAGGAAAAGGCAAGACTAGGAGCCATGGCTGTTCAGAGAGTGTGAACCAATCTATGAAAAACTTGAACGTGTGTCAGGGTCCACGGAGCTTGGATGCCTCCTGCAATGGGGAGGGATCAACGGAGGAGCAGGATAGCCAACAGAGATGGCTAAGTTCTCTAGTGACGAGGATGGGAAAATTGCAATCTGGAGGCTGCATGGAACACAGCATATGCACTACCTCGAAGTAACATCTTCATGTACATTCTTCAGAGTTTCCCGGATGTACTTGGGCACCAGCGTGGCCGGGGTGACACAAGCATTAGTCTGGAGGTCTGCTGATGTCTTCAGGACATTCCCGTAGTAGTTCTGACTCAACAGCCAAGGACCGGAAGGAAACCAGGAGAAAAAGAACTGGAGTTGTTGCCTGCAGAGCTCAAGGCCTCCGCCACACTCTTCATTACAGCCAACTGGCCTTTGCTCAGGGTAATTCTAGCTCGGGCTGCCCTCCCTCAGCGTGCACTGCCAGAAGCTGCTTGCTGGGAGGACTCCCACAGACCAGCGATCCTAGGACCCTTACCTGAACGTCCTTGTGGATCTCAGCGTCTCGGGGAGCAGCCACTGCCGAGACAGAGAACACAGGCTAAATGGAGTGACCACACTAAGAGGCTATGGGCTGCGGGCAAGATGGAGGGATAGCTGCACACAGGGCAGAGTGGGAGGGAGCCGCGGCCTCCAGAGAGGATAGGACAGTCCTACTGGGCTGCTCAGAGGTAGGAGCAGGGGTGGAGGAGGGGGCGTGCTGTGAGCCTGTGGGAAGGCAGAGGTCACAAAGAGGACAGGGCAGAAGGCAGGAGGAACGGGTACTCACTGATTCACCACACGCCTGGACCTGGGATGACCCCTCAAGTTCACTAGGGAGCAGTGCGGCAAGGCCACGCCCCTGGCTGACCTGCAAAGGAGCAGCCAAGCAAAACCCTCCCACAGCCTTTTAGCCATTCACACAGCTGCTTCCGGGTCTCCTTGTCACCATGGAGTCCTAGCATCCTGTATAATGGTTTTATTAGTTAACATCTTCCTTTAATGGGCCACTGAGTTTCATTTATAAATTCTGTGTGTGCCTTAAATGAATACCCATGTCTATTTTTCTCCTTGGGTAATGAAATCACCTTTCTTTCTTCTATCTGGCTCATAAGGTCATTCATTGAGATGTCATTTACACCTCTAACAGTCACCTTTCCTTAGCGCACAGTTCTGTGAACTTTCCAGTCATCAGGTGTGGTGCATGCCTTTAATTTCATGCACTGAGGCAGAGGCAGGAGGACCAGCTTGATGTACGAAGCTAGTTCCAGGACAGCCTGGGCTACACAGGAAAACCCTGTCTCACTGCACCCAGAATAAAAGTGGTTCTCTATTTCAGAAAGCTTTTTTTTTGTGTACTCCTGGTGGGAAGTTCCTTCCACACCCGGGTCCTAGGCAAACACAGACTTGATTCTCTCTCCCTGCAGCTTTGCCTTTTCTGGAATGTCTTGCAGATGAACTTATAACTGCATAGCCAATGTTCAGTTGTGTGTAGAAAAGCACCTACCACAGTAACTTGCCAGTTTACATGTATTTCCCATGTGTTGCCACTTGGCCTCAGACTATTTTTGTTGATATTACATCTTACGTGTCTATGCGGTGGAGATTCCCTGGAACATGTGTGGTCAAGGGACTTTTAGGAAGCTGATTATGTGCTTCCACGCTGTGGGTACCCGGCATAGAACTACATCATAGGGCCTGCCAGCAAGAGCCTTTACTTATGGTTGTGGTGACATATTATTTATGATTCATTAAAGCTTGCCTGAGGATTCAGAAACAAAGTCAGCTTCAAACTATAGTGATCAGTGTTACACACCTTTAATCCCAGGATTCAGGAGACAAAGGCAGATGATCTCTCTTAGCTCAAGGTCACCGGGGCTACAGGAGACTGAATCAGTCTAAAAGACTAACAGAGCTCACACCTTTAATCCCAGCACTAGAGAGATGTAAAAGACAGGAGCAGGGTCTTCAGTAGTCAGTCTCAGGAGTCTCAGCCACGTTGAGGAGAGCATAGCAGTCTGAGTGAATCTGAGGAGCAGTGAAGTCGGGAGCAGTCTGAGGATCGCCCCTTTGGTCTGAGCTGAGGTAGAGTAAGAGCTAGTGGCTGGCTGCTTTGCTTTTCTGATCTTCAGTTTGAAGCTTGAAGCCCAATATACAAATCTCTGGGTCCTTTATTCCTGTTATATTTACCTGCTCTGTCACCTAGCCAGCCAGGATGCATTTTTAAGTGTTTCTGTTCCCACCACTACATGTGTACGTCTTTTAAACTGTTTGGGGTGCACCTATGTGCAACAGCACCACGGCCCATGTATGGAGACAGGTGCCTTTCACAAGTTAGTTCTCTCCTTCCAAGGTGGGTTCCAGGAATCCAGCATCACGCTGGTGTGGCAAGTGCTTCTAGCTTTTACAGCTCTGCTGTCTCAATCACCCTGCATTTGTTTGTATGTCTTATTTGCTTTGTGGTTGAATCAAACGTTGCTATTCATCAAGATAAATAAAAGGATGTCTAGATAGCAAAGTGCAGTCTTATGAAATAGTCTTCCTGTTTTCAATCCAATGTCATTACAAAAAAAAAAAAGGTTGAAATCCATCTACTACGTTACCAAATTCCCTGCTGTCAATGAATTGTTGTTGAGAGTTAATAGGGTGACAGGGAGATGGCTCACTGGGTAAGGGTGCCTGCCACCAAGACTGAGGGCCTCTTCTCCATCAGCACATGAGGACCGACGCCTGCAGCTTGTCCTCTGACCGCCACATGCAGATCAAATCGTGCACACATACATGCACGCATTCATGTAAAGTGTTCTTTTGAATGTTTAAAAACAAACCCAGGGTTGGCGAGATGGCTCGGTGGTGAAAAGCTCTGGCTGCTCTTCTAGAGGCCTGGGTTCAATTCCCAGCACCCACATGGTAGCTCACAACTGTCTGTAACTCCAGGGGATCTGACACCATCACAGACACACATGTAGGCAAAACATCAGTGCACATAAAATAAAAATAAAACACTAAGAGGCATCCCGGGGCAGCTGTGCCTGTGTTGTGCAAGAGAGCTGGCTGGGCATGAGCCGAGAGTAGGTCTGGAAGCGGCGTTCTTCCACGGTCTTAGCTTCAGGCTCCTGCCTTGTTTAGGTCAGCTGCCTCTGTGGCTTTCACCAGCTGATTCCTTTGCTGATCACTCCTCTTTGCAAGTGGGTTCCAGGCTTTCAGTTTGATTTTTAGCGCTGGGTTTCTGCCTCTGCTTCCTTCAGCCTCTGGATAATAATTCTAAGATGGCATATAAGGTAGTCATTATCAGGGGAGGGCATTTAATTTAGCCTTAATGCCAGGTGGTGTCATTCCTGTAGATCTCTGAAAATCTCACTAGTGCCAGATCTCTCCTCCACCCTATAATGGCTCCCTCTATTGTGGTATCTCTCATCATTCTTGTTGCACCCTTCCACCAAAGGGACTTCTGGCCAGCTTGTACTGTTCCCCACCTTTCAAATAGACCTGTAGGCAAGCTCCTGTATTCTGTCCATCCTTATTGTCTAAATTCAAGTTCCTGTTGTTAGCCCATCCTTTGCTGGAGGGCCTTTGCCGCGCCTGCTGCATAGCCTGTGTCCCAGAATGTGGCGAGGGTGTCGGGGATTGATGACACAGACCCGAAAGTTCCTCAAGAAGGCTCTCCTTTATTCCTACTCTGGCTGGTTATTATTACCCTGACGCCAGAGGTGGTGGTGGGTGGTTCTGAAGATGCAGTTAGTCTTTGGAAAAGGTCGAGGACAGGGCAATTCCCGTGGACAAGCCCTTTTCAGGAACTTATTGCCCTGGGCATTGTATTGTTTTTAGTAAACATGTTTTTCTTACTGCTGCCTACTCCCAGGCTGATGGGGAAGTGGGTCTCTGCTCAAGGTCTGGTGTCCCCACAATTCCTCCTTTTTTATTTTCTAATGAGGCACTCCTGGCTTAGGTCAAGTAGGGTCACCCTCCCTAGTCTGTCTTTGGGGGACTTTGAACCCCTGTCTTAGGTAGGAGGTGTCTTCCCCACAGGTTGCCCTCATCCTTAAATCATCTGTAACCAAACTTCATGGCTATCGTGATTGCCATGGTCTAAGCTAAGTAATACTTGGTTACGGATCTCTTGCCTCTGGAACAAGGCACGTTTGAGCTCGGCATAAAGCCAGAATGCCTACCGCCACTGCCACCATTTCCAGGACCCCCATTGACATAGCACCTCTCCATCACCGTACCCATCACCAGATCTGGGCCATAACATTCTACCAGCCTTCCTCTGTTACAAGGATAACTTGCATGTTACAATTTGATGGTCAAAACAGTGATACAGTTTACAATAGTTCCAAGATCTACTCAGGAAAGCATTTAGAAAGTGCACTTGCACAGATACATTAGGTACAATCATTGATGTTACACATTTAGCATTATAAAAAATATGAACAAGAGGCTTGTTGCACTATCCACAGAACACCGATTTCTTCCTGTGGTGATGCAGTTTGTTGCTTTAATGTCAGTAGCCTCAGCCCAACATGCGACTTGAGCCAAAGTCTCTTTTTTGTCGCATTAGGACAAGTTGCATTTCTCCAGAAAAATACACTGGCATGGGCGCGATTCCAGAAACAGGAACCACCAAGTCTGATATTTCAAGTGACCATGTCCTGTTCAAATACTGAAAAGAGGCTTTTGCTACTCATCACAGTCCATACCAATGTCCAACTGTTTTAAATGGGTCCTTTTTTCCCCCAAAGGGAAAAACTGCCAAAATGAATTCTGTTGTTTTGAGGTGTGTCAAGGGCAGACAGTTAATCTTTCCAGTTCTCTGTTGGCTTCAGAATGAAAACTCACGGGTCCGGGAGGTTGATGCAGCAGGCCTGTTGAGAAACTGGAAATCTCGAACGGGCTGTTTTCCTTCTTTCTCTGGCTGTAGATTCGATGACATCAAGGGTCAGGAACACTGATTTAGGAGATCTCATTCAAACTGGCTTAGGTAGGCTCCCATGGTCTCAGGTCCAGTTTTCTCTGCTCCATGCATCTCACCAAATGTTGTGACAGTTACTGAAGCTTTATTCTTTTCCTGCAAGAAAACACAAACATGCCCTCTACCCCAAATTAGGGTCTTCTCCACTGTCTAGTGCATGGATGTCTCCATTTGACCTGAGCAATAGTTGCTCAAGTTCCATCATGCCAGAATCTGTCTGAAGCAGATTGCTCACTGGCATTCACATTTTAAAAATTTTTTAATGAGGAATGTATTGTTTGATGAATCATGTGGGGAATGGGGACATTACTCCCCTTTTTTATTTTCTAAAATTTTTTGAACTGTTGAAGCTGGACCATAACAGTAGAAGGATATGTCTACCCTCCTTGATTAACTATCTAGGTGAATTGGGATCACTATCTAGATTATTAGTAAATGCTCTTTAAAAAGGACATATCCATTAAGTATTTCCCAAAAACTTCTGAAAATCACTCAAAGATTGTCAACTATACTGTGTTCCAGATAACTTTTGAAAATTATTTGAAGTCTGTCAGCAGTCTTTCCCAATCTAACCTGTAGAACTCTCACTAGCTGACAAGGCCTCGTTTGCATCTTAACTTTTCTGTTAAGACATTAACAGACTGGCTGGATGTTCCTTTTGGCTATATCTAAAGCAATTTAGGTAGCTTTTTAATTATTTTTGAAGGGATTTAAGTATCCTTTTAATCAGATAAGCAGTTTACACTCATCCATTCACAATCACATTTCATATATACCGGTGTGGCCACACCATACATTCAGAACATACATGCATCTTTCGGTCATTCTTTTTCCCTAGGTCATGATTGGTCTATTGAAATGAAACTTCCTTAATTGAAATCTATGTAAAAGA